GATAATGACTGATTTATAGTCCTTTGAGGTTCATCTTAATCTGACTGAAAGGATGCAGGCAATGTGAGTCAAGTGTGTGTCGCTGGTATAAACTGTAATTGGCAATAGAGTTGCTTTGTAACGCCTCCCTACATTAATCCACAGTCTTTGAAGTCAATCTTAAGACGGCAAGGCAGTGAAGTGTCAGTAGTTTGTAACTTTTTTAAAAGCCTGAACTTGTGGTCTCTGTTACTTCTTCTCAAATGAGCAATATTCACTGTCTGCGAATGACTTGTCACAACATTCCATAACGTTTTCCACATCTTTCTCTCTGAGCTGACAGATGACGCAAAACAGCTTAGTGTGATGCGAATTTATATTCAGTGCGAGAAGAACATCTTGTCCGACAACAGTGCAACAATTTAATATAACGGTCAAACTATTTGGATGTCAAAAAGACATCAAAAACAAACATCCTGTTATTATTTACTGATGTTCACAGCAAGATTAGAGGCATCTTCATATAGCTCTTTTCTATACAAGAACAGGTCTGTCAAGCTATATAAAAACACAACAAAAGCCTTGTGTATATAAGGAACATCAAAATGTACAGCTTTAAAGTTAGGATATGTGGATGACTCATATAGAGTACATTTAAGGTGATTTTTTTTTTTTTAGTTTAAAAAACAGATTTCATTCTTGCTCATTTTGTGCATACAGCCAAATGGGTTTTGAATAATATCAATATTATGAGTTAATAATAACATAAATCTCATTTTTTGGTTATCTATTACTTTTAATGGAATAGAATTACATAACTTGCTCACCAATAGATCCTCTGCAGTGAATGGGTGCCGTCAGAATGAGAGTCCAAACAGCTGATAAAAACACCACAATAATCCACAAGTAACCCGCACCACTCCAGTCCATCAATTAATGTCTAGTGAAGTGAAAAGATGCATGTTTATAAGAAACAAATCTAAAAACAAACCATCACTTCTGACCAAAATACGAGTCTATAATTCATAACGCTTCCTCCAGTGAAAAAGTCCCCTAACCTAACCCCTTTTCGCTCGTAAACACTGTTTGATCTGTGCCTATTTCTCTCCTGATGCAGGCAAGACAACTTTTTCACTGGAGAAAGCAACAGAGAATTCCTATTTTAGGCGAAAACAACCGTCTGAAGATTAATACAGGATTTATTTCTTATAAACGCACAGCTTTTCACTTCACAAGACATTAACTGATGGACTAGAGTCGTGTGTATTATTGTAATTTTTTATCAGTTGTTTGGACTCTCATTCTGACGGCACCCATTCACTGCAGAGGATCCATTGGTGAGCAAGTGATGTAATGCTACATTACTCTAAATCTGTTCCCATGAAGAAACACATTTATATTATATATTTTCAGCAAATTTTCAGTTGTGGGTAAACTATTCCTTGAAACTACTAGCTAAGATAAAAATTTAGCCTGTACTTATGTACACAGTTTCACCAGTGGGAGCGTGTGCGTGTTTGTGCATTTACGCTCATGGCTGTGTTTGTCTGTGTGTGTTCTAACCACAGAAAGGCCATGTTACACATCTCACCACACACCCAGGGTTCAGGTGGTTTCATCCTTTCATCTTCGACCATTTCATTAATCCTTTGATGCTTCCGCAGGTGTTTGAGCTCTCCGGGAAGATGCTGCCCTTTTATGCAGATCTGGCAACCTCCACTAACACCTGTCGGAGGAGTCCAGCTTTCACACTCTCTGTCAGTGCCTGGGGAGAAGCCCTTCCAATTAAAAGGGATTAAACTCTGATTGAAGCACACTTAATGAATCAGATCAACAGTTGCTTCCTCTACTTCACAAGGGGGAATAATGACTAATGGCACAATGCGAGTGAGTGGCTGTGTATTGGGGTGAGCTCTGATGGGGGAATCACCAATCAACAGATGAATGTTGTAAAATGTGGATTCTCAATTGGTGGGATGCGATTAGGGCTGCACGATTAATCGAAATAGCAGCTCATGATTCAGTGTTTGCAGTGTCTCAGAGCAGCTCGTTTTGCAGTAAAAGTTGCTCCACACAAACTTGTCTCTGTATCCGCTTAATGTGCATTTTGGAATGCAACATGTGCCAACCATCTTCCCAAACTTATAAACCGGCTGTTGTCAAAAATCTGTCATCATTACTCACCCTCAAGTTGTTCCAAACCTATACAAGTTTCTTTCTTCTATTTAGAACAGAAGTAGGGCTTCACAATTTGGGGAAGAACCACAACAGAATATATTTTTAAGAATTTTGGTAACCAAATTTTGGTTTCAATTTTGGCTTGTTTCAATCATGGTGTCCTAATCAGCCCCATCTTCACTAGCTTTTATGGAGGGCATCCTAGTGGATGCTGGACACATGGGTGGTGATTGAACAGACTCCCAGACACACTATAACGTGGTTTGAGTGCCAAAGCACTATATAAATTAAGATAATTGCTATTGATTTAATTCATATACCCTTGACCTTCTAATTCAATTTTTGCAAACATACTTTTTCCATTCTGGTTTCTAAAGCAGATCAAGTTGAGATCCGCAGGTCGAAAACAAACAATGACAGAGAATGAAGAGAGAAAATTGCCTCACGGTGCTTGCTCAGTGAAAAGCTTCAACAAGACTGTGTTTAATGAGAAGACCCATGATCTCGACTCAAACTCCATAACCATGCCACTACCGTCTATGTCTTCACAACACTCTTGTTGCTGAAGCTCCCAGCGGGGTCCTACTTCACATGTTTCTAGCACTTCAGAACAGAGATTGCCTTCTATCACTGATTACACCCAGGTGAAAAAGACGTAGTATTAAATATCTGAAAAAGCACAATTTAAATATATTTCTTTTTCACCTGGGCATCCATTGTGCACACAGCTAGTTTAAAGATTGCTCTCTCCTGCTACAATGAGAGAAGACCCAGTCCTCAAAAGAACTACCTGATTTCATTCAAGCTCTCTGCAGTCTCACATCTTTAATTTCTGGGGTATTTTTAAATCAACTCTAGGTTAGGTTAAATTACTCCTTTCAATCATATTGACTGAGTGCAATTGCCAGTTTGAGTGGTACTGCTGCCGAGATTGAGAGAGAAAATGGATGGAAAAACCAGCCGCTCCTGTGCTCTCATGTGGCATTGTGACATCAAGCTGATTGAACAAGAGACTGAATTGCTCTATAATAAGCTGTATTATTTTGGGTCATTTCGTAGTTTGAGTCACCATCAATTTGGGAGATGATGGGGGAAACATTCATTATCAACTAGAGTTGAACCTGAATCTATTGACAATATGAATCTAAAAGTGCAAGTGCTGTGTGAATTTGGAGAAAATACTTTAAGGCTTAATTATGTCCGAGAATTCAGATTAACGTCACATAATGTAATTTACTTTCCAGAAGAGGGCAGCAGAGTATGCAAACTTAAACATTTGCAGCATATCTTGAAATATTTTAACCATGTAAACCAGCAACCATCATTTTTCACCACGCATTTCAAAACCATATGCTTTTATGTTTATTTATGTCCCCTGTGTAACAATCTTAATGCATTTCTTGTCCATACAACAACAGTTCATATCATGGCCAGTGGGGGCTTGTGGGAAATTTTCAAATTAGGGCTGTGCTTATCCAACAATTTTAGTAACAAATTTTAAATAATGATCATTGTTTTACTAAGTTCAGGGTTAAGTTTGAGAAGGATTCCCACAAAACAGTATTTTCTGCAACAGTTCATATCATGGCCAGTGGGGGCTTGTGGGAAATTTTCAAATTAGGGCTGTGCTTATCCAACAATTTTAGCAACAAATTTTAAATAATGATCATTGTTTTACTAAGTTCAGGGTTAAGTTTGAGAAGGATTCCCACAAAACAGTATTTTCTGTAAGCTTTTTTCAAGGTAAGATAAAAATACTTTTTTATGGTCAAAATTCATAATTTACAGTGCAACAACAAAAACTGTGAGGAAAAAAATATAATCATCTTAAAACAATCTACTGTAGACGAGATTTGAGGACGCTGATTGGATAAATGTTATGTTTATGTCTTCAATCGGCCATTGGCTAAACTGCTACATAGACCCGCCTCCTTTCTCTATCGCCGCAGAACTGACCTTTAGACAATAGACCGGTTTGTAAACATTCAGGATGCGCGCGCATCATGGTTGCAGAAAACCCGGGAGAGATGGCCTTTACAGCTAGAGATTTTCATGGATACGGTACAAAATAGTTAGGTTTAAAAGGATTATAAATTATATTGATTAGATGTCATTTTCAAAATGTTCTACGCATATTACAAAGTAAATAAATGTTATGTAAAAATGTTAATAGTAAGGTTTAAATAATATTTCATGCTGTAACTGTAGGGCTAATACAATACGTACCCTATGAACAGCATATGTGAATATTATGTAGACCTATTGTTTAAATCGAATTTATGCTTTAAAAGTATAGTAATCATAGCAGTTTTCATCCATAGTATGTCCATTTCAACGTCTGCGTTTAGCTTCAAATGACGACAGTTTTCTATAAAAAATTATTTGCATTCCGATCTTGACATCAAAAGGCACAAAAATATTTTTTTCTTTTATTCCATGGATTTTACCCATTTACCTCCACTTGTTCCCAGTGTTTTTTTGCAACCACTATGCGCGCGCAGCTGCAAGTGATGCAACTGTGACGTCTACTCGAAATTGGTCTATAGACATGCGCACAGGTAGGGGACATATGGGGAAAACATATATATGAATATCAGCTCATATAATTTATAATAATTATTATTATTATTCTCATTGTGTTGAGACATAAGAGCTGACTAGCGAAGGTTACATTTTCTCAAAAACAGCAGCCGTTCATCTCCCGAGGAAGTGCGAGGGAACAGTAACAGGAAATACTGAAACGCTTCCCCGCTTTCTCTGTCTTTATGTAGAGTCGTTATGTTTAGGTAAAAATAATAATAATAATAACACACCCTCTTAGCGCATGTATGAGTCAGCAAAACGCTCGCTTCATGCTGGAGCTCCAGTGAAAGTTAGAGTCATGTGTGAAAGATGATCCAGGGCTGGTGACTGAAGCAGGCAGGCAGAGAAGGACGAGGTAAATCATTGTTTCGTGTTTTGCATGCCCTGTCACACCTCACCGACGGTCACCGTATGTGTCCAAAGGTCTGTACGCTTTGTGCAACTTTACTCAGTAAGACTATTAGAGGAAAAGCAGTTGGAGGAAGGCGTGTAACAACATTAGAAACAACAGTAGGTTTTCCTTTAACTTTTGTAGCCTTTGCTCTGATATGTTGCATGTTGTTGAAGATTGTGAGACAGCTTGTAATAATAGTCTTCAATAAGTGCACACAGTTTAACAGAGCAACAGAATACTTAGTAACGAAATTGGAAGTAAAACAGCTAAACTTCCTCTAGCAGCAGACTAATACCGTGGTCACATGTTCTTAAAGGTATACACACATGGATAAACACTCGCCAAATGAAGAGTAAACTGGTGGAATCGTTACCCACTAGTTGGCCATAACTTTATTAGAAACTGCAACATTACACAGTTTGGAATTCTATAATGTGTGATGTATGAAAGCCAAATACATACTAACAGTCTACTTATGAAAGCAGTTTGTGACACACAACTTTAGTGTTTTATGTTATCATTAGATAAACTTATCTAGGATGCGTTGGTTTCCCCCCTCCATATACTGAGATGTATTGATCTGTTATAAGGGACAAAATCCATTATGCACAAAACCTCTGAAAACAAAATAAGAGTGTAATTACTTTTCTGTTGTAGATGGCATTAGTGTTCCTGCCAGCACTGGCTCGTATGGCCATATGCGGCGGCACCCATGGGAACGAGCTGTCCGGTGTATGTGGTGCAGGAGATGGAGCGACAGCGGAAAGAAAAGGGAGAGGGTGTGTGGCCGATTCCTGTAACAACTGTGCTGTCAAACCCAAGGGCTGTGAAAGAGTGCAGAAGATACATTGACAGGAATATGAACCGCTGCTTCAACAGAGACACGCTGAGGTGAGATGTGGAGCAGACTGCAACATGGAATGTAGTTTTGTGAGTAAATGTCTTATTTAAAAAAAGATGGTTAGGCAATTATATGGTAATGGATAAAGAAATAAAAAATGGGCTCGGTTTAGGACAAGCTTATTCACTAGAATGAATCTGACTTTCCAAAATGAGAAAGAGGCCCCTTTAGGACAAACCAATTCACTTGAATGCATCAGAATTCCCAACACTACACATGAAAGAAAAAGAGCCAGAAAAACCCAGAAATGAAAATTCTACCATCATTTAGACACTCTAAGTTATTTGGAAGAATTTTGGTAACCAAATACTTGACAGTAGCCACCGACATTCATAGTATGGAAATAAATAATACTATGGTTGCTGTCAGCTGAGCAGATGTTGCTGAGTAGGGGTGGGAGTCACCAGAGGCCCCACGGTACAATATTATCACGATACTTGCGTCACGATACAATATTATTGCGATTTTAAAGGGGTCATATGATGCTATTTTAAAGATCATTATTTTGTGTATTTGGTGTAACAGAATATGTTGACATGCTTTAATGTTCAAAAAACATCAAGCAGACAAACTGACCAACACTTTCATGAAAACCTGTCATAAATGTTGTATGCACCTGGCAAACTCAACTATTTGCATTACAGTCTAGTCTAGTCCACCTTAATTCAATTTAAACAGGTATGCACTGCTGTGCTACTACAGGTATTTTGAACAATGTAAATTGTACAACTTGTACAAAAAAATTTGTGCAGACACTTCAGCTTGGGGCATTTGAAAGTAAATTGCTGTTAAATTTAAAATAAATAAAACAGTCTTACATCCGATTTAAATGCAGACGGGGCTTTCCTGATAACTTTCTGTGAGAGTGCTGGTACTGGATGTCCCGATTAGTGACGCATATAACTTGGAGTCGGTATCCAAGCATGGCTTTAGTAAGTGATTGTGATCATCTCAATGCCTTTGCTTTGTGTACCAACCGCATGATCGTATTTGGTGGATGTCCTATTATATAAAGTGTGTTTGACTGTATGACATCAAAGTACAGCAAGAGTGATTCGAAAGCATGCAGGGCTGTCTTCTCTCTATAGGTCTCACGGTACTTTGATGTCATACAACAATCGGTCTGCGAAGCGCTGCAAGTCGAACAAACCTATTCTTTTATATGACTCAGATACATAAAAAAAAAACAAGTCTGCCAGCAGCCAATCAAATTCCAGCACCTAATAATGTCAAATCTGAATCTCCTACCATTACAAAAATGGATAGATTCGTACATCATGTAAAAACGAGTATGCGTAGAAAAGTTTGTGAAAACTGATCACAAGGTGGCTTCATATTAAGCAACTTAGGAACTCTTGCTTTAAGTTGCCAGTAACAGTTTATCTTTACAGGTAGAGTAGGCGATTTCGGAGAGGCTAGCAATAGCAAGCTAGCTTGGAAAGCATAAGATCCCATCCTCCCTACAAATCACTCTCCAAAGCCACGCATCCTCCCAAACACATGAATGAGCACAGGCAGAGCAGAGACTAACCAGCGACATGATGAGAGATGGCGTTGGTGAAGGATTGAATACAGCGCAGTCAGAGATTACCTCATGTCTCATTCGCCGGTGAGAAAATATTACTGTACAAAGAACATATTACAATAACGTTATTCCATCCTTGCTTGGTCTGCAATAGCGTAATGGAACACGCTGATGAAGTATCATGTCTGCGCAAACAGGGTGCACAAAGACATGCAAATACATATGTTCATATGCAGGTAGGACAGCCTATCATAGCCCTCAGACCGAGGGATATGATTGGATGTACATTTCATGGTCCTACACCTTCCACAGAAAATATAAATACATTTGCTCTCGGAGGGATTGGCATGGTAATGTACATGACATTCAGTGCTAATGTGTTTGGTCTTGGCAGAATAGATCTGCTACACTGCTGCTGCTGTGGCAGAGCAAGTACCGAGACTTGCTACTGCCAATACATCCACAACATGCTGCTGTGAGCATGTAAGAAATATTGCTGCTGCACATATAACATATGAATAACCTCATAGCATACATGATCACCCCCTAGCAGATCTATACAGGTGGAGCTGGGGAAGGTGGAGAGTTTCTGAAGTGTGCTGCACTGCTACTGCAAGAACTAGTCAAGTATTTGAATGTTGAGTAGCGAGCTCATTGGCTGCTGATGCAAAAAGAACCAATCAGCAGCGCCATGTGATGATGTCATTATGTCAGATTGATTTTGATCTATCGGACTGCGCCATCTAGAGTGTCATGCCAGAACTTTGGATTTCTGTAAAAATATAAACTTATATTTTCCATATAAACTGCTGCATCAGCAGACATGCACATATCCACACACATGAAAGAATGAAACAGACAGTATAGAACAAAACACCCCCCAACAAGCAAATCTATCACTGAGACATGTACTGCTGCTGCTCTGAAGAGCCATATGAACCGCATGTATTACTATCTATGTGTGCCTGGGCTACCATGCCAACCGGCTTAACACTAGTGGCCTATGACAATGTGAGCCTCGGCTACCTTGCCGGAAAGCTTAACAGTAGTGGCCTATGACTATGTGAGCCTTGGCCAACTTGCCGAACAGCTTAACAGTAGTGGCCTATGACTATGTGAGCCTTGGCTACCTTGCCGACTGGCTTGACAGTAGTGGCCTATGACTATGTGAGCCTTAGCTACCTTGCCGACTGGCTTGACAGTAGTGGCCTATGAAAGGGGGTCTGAATACTTTCCGTACCCACTGTATGTGTGCCTGGGCTACCATGCCAACCGGCTTAACACTAGTGGCCTATGACAATGTGAGTCTCGGCTACCTTGCCGAAAAGCTTAACAGTAGTGGCCTATGACTATGTGAGCCTTGGCCAACTTACCGAACAGCTTAACAGTAGTGGCCTATGACTATGTGAGCCTTGGCTACCTTGCCGACTGGCTTGACAGTAGTGGCCTATGACTATGTGAGCCTTAGCTACCTTGCCGACTGGCTTGACAGTAGTGGCCTATGACTATGTGTGCCTGGGCTACCTACCTTGCCAACTGGCTTAACAGTAGTGGCCTATGACTATGTGTGCCTGGGCTACCATGATGACCAGCTAAACTGTAATTGAGCCGTCGCAAAGACCCGCCCTTCTTAGTTACTGTTATCTCTGACAAACTATGCCGCTCTCACGCTACAATTCATGTTCTCGCCGACTGGCTTGACAGTAGTGGCCTATGACTATGTGAGCCTTAGCTACCTTGCCGACTGTCTTGACAGTAGTGGCCTATGACTATGTGTGCCTGGGCTACCTACCTTGCCAACTGGCTTAACAGTAGTGGCCTATGACTGTGTGCCTGGGCTACCATGATGACCAGCTAAACTGTAATTGAGCCTTCGCAAAGACCCGCCCTTCTTAGTTACTGTTGCTATCTCTGACAAACTATGCCGCTCTCACGCTACAATTCATGTTCTCATGCAATATAAAAAAAAAAAAAAATTAAATCGCAGAGTAAAGAGGAAACTGACAACGCACCAGACAAGACAGAGCAGTTTACTTCTGGTATGAAACAAGGTATCAGGACTCTCAGCTTTCAAATTTTTTCATTTTTAAAGAAATTCAAACAATAAATACAGTTTTGTGGCCGTTTAATGACAGATCACTATATTGTCTCAGTTAAAGCACCACGTGAACCGATCATCTTTTCCTACACTCTAAAAAATTCTGGGTTAAAACAACCCAACTTGGGTTATTTGGCAACCCAGCGCTGGGTAAATATTGGACAGAACACATGCTGGGTTATTTTGACCCAGAGATCGCCTGTCAATCAAGCTCTTTGCAAATGGTCAATTAGACGTGCACTATGTGTAATGATAATTAACAAATGGATAGACATTTCAATCCGATAGATAAGAGCCCAGCAGCCACCTGAGCACAATGTCATAATTTAAGTCATTTGATAACTGTCATTGATATGACTTTATAGTAAGCTATTAGGAGCGATAAAGTGCATGCTTCAGCTGAAATCAACTGCACATTCAGCACAGCTAATGAAAACATCGACCTTTGAAATAACGTATGTGAACATTGAGATTACGCCACTAAATATGGTGAGCCCCGGTTGAAATGCATACACAAGAATGCTTATTTAATTTAAACCAGTTCTCATGTCGTTACTGTTGCATATCCTCAGAGCGACGACATGCTCTTGACTGCATTTTGCTCCAGCTGTATCAGCACAGATCCCTAAATGCTACTGCTAATATGCTTAATATTTCGCTCCTGCATACGAATGCAAGACTGCCCACATGACACTTAGTTTAAAACTTATGGTTGCTCTTTTTTTCAATTAATTCGGCAGACAAAGCAATATGCACAGCGATATGGAGTAAAAGAGCATTCACTTATCTTAGATGTTGATTTCAGATGTTTTCTGAAGCGCGCTTCACTGCTACAGCAAGCACTAGACAAGTATTTGAATGTTGAGCAGAGAGCTCATTAGCTGCTGATGCCAAAAGAGCCAATCAGCCTTGCCATGTGATAATCATGTCATTATGTCTGAAGAGATTGTCCTATCGGACTGCGCCATCTAGAGTTTCATGCCAGAACTTTGGATATAAATACATTTAGACCACTTAACTTAGTGGTTGCTATAGTCTTTCAACCAGGATAATTTTTTTAACCATATCACCTACCCTACCTTTAAAATGTAGCCACCATTCTAATTTTCTGTTCAAAATCATTCAATGTAGTTTGTCCGATTTGTATGAAATTTTGTGTGTGTATCATCTAGAGATGTTCATGACAAAAAGATTAATTTAATCATGTAGCAAATATAGGCTAATGTGTTTTTGGGTGTGGCCCATAATGACTTAACCATATCACCTACCCTACCTTTAAAATGTAGCCACCATTCTAATTTTCTGTTCAAAATCATTCAATGTAGTTTGTCCGATTTGTATTTGTAGTTTGTCCGATATGACTTATATCTTGTGATTGCAACATCCAAAATGTAGAAAACTTGATACACATGGACAACAGGACATTATGAAACCTGTAAAGTTTCCTGAATTTTCAGTGCTTAGAGGCACCATAAGTCAGCACAATGCTAACAGCGCAATTCCAACCAAATTTTTATTTTTTTTTTCAAAATTGGCTGTCTTGCAACAGCAGATGTTTATGCCTTGAGGAAGTAGGAGGAAATTGTGACAGGAAATATCGGTTTGTTATGAAGGACGGGCAGGAGCCAGTTGTAATGTTTAGGTATAATTGTAGGTTCTGCAGTCCTCTCAGTTGTCATGTTTCTCCTCCCCCCTCTTGTTTTTCTTCCACACACACACTCTTTTTAGTGCATGTATGAGTCAGCAAAACGCTCGCTTCATGCTGGAGCTCCAGTGGAAGTGAGAGTTGCTGTGACATTAGCATCATGTGTGAAAGATGATCCAGGGCTGGTGACTGAAGCAGGCAGAGAAGGTCGAGGTAAATCATTGTGTTACTTTACTGTGTTTGAGCAACTGGGGAGGAATGTCTTAAACTATTAATGTGTGTGGGTGTGTGTGCAGATGCGGCTCATGCAGTGTTGTGGCCCCTGATGCTAGATTAGGCCTGTACCGACTGAATGTGTGTCAGCATGCATGCCCTGTCACACCTCACCGTATGTGTCCAAAGGTCTGCTGTGTCTTGTGCAACTTCACTCAGTAAGACGATTAGAGGGAAAGCAGCTGGAAGAAGGAGTGAAACAGCATTACTTCTGTATTAAAAATAACGGTAGGTTTACCTTTCATTTTTAGAGCTGTTGCTCTGATATGTTGCATGTTGTTGTAAAATGTGAGACAGCTTGTAATAATGGTCTTCAATAAATGCATATTATTCAAGAGAGCTACAGAACACTTCATTCTAAAGGAAAACAGCAAAACTCCCTCTAGCAGCAGATCTTAAACTAATACCATGGTCACATGTTCTTAAAGGTGTACACACATGGATAAACACTTGCCAAATGAGAGTAAACATAGACGTAATAAAGTTACCCACTAGTCAGCCATAACTTTATTAGAAACTGCAACATTACACAGTTTGAATGGAATTCTTGAAATGTGATGTATGAAAGCCAAAGACATACAAACGGTCTACTAAAGAAAAGTGTTTGTGACTCGCACAACTTCTGTTTTTTAAGTTAATCTAAGATGCGTAAAGTTTTTTCCCCTCTAGAACTCCATGTGGCGACACACATATGGAACATTCTTCACATTCATTAAATATGAGGAACATTTTTCTTAAACACTTCTACATCCGCTCAGTGTTATTTTAGTATCATGTATTTTAAATTTGAATTTTTTATTTTTATAGCTTCTGTTTTCATTTTAGCTAAAGGTTTAGACAATTTGATGCTAGTTTTTGTCATTTTTGCTTTTGTTTTTGTCATATTTTTTATTAATTTGTATTTCAGCTTTAGTTATTTTAGTACTTCGAGTTAAACTAGACCAAACTGAGAAATGTTGCCTTTGAAAAAAAAGTTTATCTATCTAAACAATGTGTGACCCTTGTTCTGTTGACCTCCGCCATAGGATTATTAATGATGGTTTTGTTGTTTATTAACTCTCTCATCAGTTCTACAAATCATCTACAACTACAAATCATAAGTCAAGTACATAATGTTATTATATTGTCAAAAAAATAAGCTATAGGTTTTAATATGGGTTAATCTGAATTAATTAAAAAAAATTGTTTACACTAATGCACTTACAACTGAAGTCAAATTACTTTAACTGTTAACTGTCAACATGCCATAGAGCTCAATTTATGCTGGCCACACCTCTTTCTCACTCACTGCTGGAGATTTTTGGCCAATGCAAATTGGTAATGGGTAAAAAAGGTAATAAAATCTGTTTAATACAGTGTGTCCACCAATAACAACATGCAATAAGACTATAAATCAATATTCAGATCACTGAATGGGCTCATGATATAATAATTATGGTAGACAGACATTACAATATTGCCATACCATTTGAAAACTCAAGAGTGTACTTTTCTGTTGTAGATGGCATTAGTGTTCCTGCCAGCACTGGCTCGTATGGCCGTATGCGGCGGCACCCATGGGAACGAGCTGTCCGGAGTGTATGTGGTGCAGGAGATGGAGCGACAGCGGAAAGATTTGCTTGACCAGCCACAACATCAGCATAAGTTACTGCAAAATTATTTACCTCCAACTCTCTTTGCAGAACACCCAATCCCTGTTCCCTGCATCTCCCTCCTGCATAATCTGTTTTTCTTTTTCTCCTTGTAGCTGGAAATCAGCTCACAGACAATTTGCGGGCTATATATATATTTTTTAATAATTCCAGTGCTCGAAAACTCCGGTCTGACGCACGCGGTTTCTCGCGCTATTTCCTTATCACTTCTCGCATGTGTTTTGTTGTGAAATGTAGTTTGCGGACCAGACAGAGCTGTCGGCGATTCTTCCTATCGTGAAGTCATGCAGTGTGTAACCTCCTGTCGCCGATCCATCGTGCAATGTGAACACAGCAGCAACTGAATGCTACCCCAGATAGTCACGCAGTGTGAAAACAACGGCGATCCGATGAGTTTGAAAATCATGCAGTGTGAACTTGGCATAATGTTAGTTTATTATCTAGCTTGTATATTAGGCTGTATATGGACTTAAAATAGTGAAGGTTCTAAATTAGGTCTATTGTTTCGTCTAATTGGAAAGTAATAATTTTTAATTATTAGCAAAATATATTATAATAGTATGTGATCGCATTTACTCTTATTTGTATGCCTAATATGTTGAAAATGCAAAACGCTTCTTGTCTCATCACATTCAGGAATTACATTAAATTTACATGAAATTTGAGAAAAAAGTTGAGTAGTTTGCATTACTGGATAATACTGTCCGCTATTGAAGGTTTCTATAGACCGTTTTCATATGTCCGGGTTTCTCAGCAGTGGAAGTCGTCTAGCTGGGTAAACTTCTACAGTATAGCGGTGAATGAGAGACTACCACATATATTTTTTGCATTTTCATTTGCTCAAATAGCAAAAGAAAAACTCCACAATATAGAGAGAGAACAATATCAAATTTTCCGTCACGCCCATAGACGCTGCTTTCCTCGGCTTTAGCATAAATTTGTTTTTTTTTGTAATTCGATGCAAATGTAATGTTATGCAAAATATAGTGTTATAAATGTACATACATTTAAAATGTACATACAATAAAAATGAAAATACAAAAAACTTTGGAGGATTTACGATGCTGATGACCATTGAAATGCGTCATCACAGTCTTGTGAAAAGGGTCTATTGTAAAACAGTTGTGAAATATTAAATGTTTCACTACTTCCATCTTACCTAGCTCTATTTCAACGTTAAAACTGATGCTTCGTGCTGAAATTCGCAGCCCCTCACAAAATAGCCCCTCACTGCAGAACACAATTGATCCAGGGGGCGTGGTTGGATCCACATCTAGGGGGTGGAGATTGGTAGGTTTAGGGGTCAGGGGGTGGAGACGGGTATGGTTTAGGTATATGTAAGGTGGGAGGAGTTGGATCTGGGTTCAACCACACCCCCTGGATCTTGTGCTCTGCAGTGAGGACCATCTCGAAATTCGCGCTCAGTAAACTCATAGACTGTAAAAAAACATGGACGTAGTGTTCGTGACGTCACCTGTAGGTTTCTAAAGAGCATTTTTGAAGCTCAAAGTGGGCGGAGCCATCTTGGCAACACATCACCGCGCATCACTCCCGGATAATCGAAAATGGGCAAAAAGGCAGGAGCTGGTTGCTGAAACCACGCCCACCTAGCTCGACGGTGGTAACAGCAGTGGCAATCCACTTGTCACTCAAATGGCCACGCCCTTAATTATGCAGAACTCTAAGGCTTAATATAATTTAAACGGATGAGTTATAAAAAAATTCCCCCCCTCACAGTTGTTATGAAGGGCAAAATTAGCTATATAGACCAAAATAATTTTTTGAACCAGGCTGTAAACATGTTTTTTTCTGCTGTAAAGTTGGGCATTTTAACATGGGGTGTGTATGGGATTGACTCCCTTTTGCAGCCAGCCTCTAGCAGCCAGTTGACGAAGGTTGCCGCTTGAGTAAACTCTACCTACTTTGATTTGATTGGCCATCTCAAGCATTTTGACACTGACGAGCGTGGTTACACCACTGAGGCAGACCAGCCTAAAAATGTAACTTTTAAAGTTACAAAAATACCTCTTTGTCATTCAGATTTGGAGGGAGGGGGGATCTTGTCCCCCTCAGTGTCTATGGTACAGCATAAATAAAGTAACATAAATATGTTACTGTGTAGATCTAAAATGCTCTGTTTCTTGCAGCTGTCCTATTACAGACAGCAGCCCGTATGAAGTCTGGCGTGCTCAGGAACTGAACAATCTGCTGGGGCTGAAAGGATCCACCGATGCAACAGACATAATCTGTGACCTTCATAACACCACGTCCAACATGGGCCTCACACTCATCCATTACACATCCAGTGACTGGGTGACTCTGCACATCTGCAAATACTTACAGGCAAGAACATTACTAGTGTGCTTCAATAAATGCTGTACTAGAAACTAAGGTCAGTCGTTCTCAGCTGGTGGGTTGTTGTGACCAAAAACTGGACAGACAGCAAGGGAAAAAAACATGATTAATGCAAAAAAATAAACTGCAACTTAATAGCAAAAAAAGTAATAGTTAGGATAGCAAAATGAAAACGTAAAAACACCCAGTTTTGTAATGTATTCTGACTACTTTTGGATTACTTTTAGATTACTTTTGATTAGTGCTGTCAAACGATTAATCTAGATGCCCTGTTCAACCTGACCATCATCCCATTCCCTCTACCCCTTCATCCTCTTTCTACTCTTCCCCAACATCCTGTTCAATTAACTATTCCATAGCTCGTTTGCAGCGTGGTCCTTGCTCGTGAAGCTTATAATAATGTTTTTTAATTTGAGTGGTACTGGTAGGAATTCACAGGAAATTCAAGCATGCAGATTTAATCACCATTGGTAGTGCGATTTAGTGTAAAGCTTTTTTCCTCAATTGGTCAGAACAAAAGTGGCAGACTTGTTACGTTCAGATGACAATATCTGGTGAAAATTCTTATTTGGGTCATATATTCCGAGACGTAGGCTAGAATCTGTGATTCCTAAGTACAGTATCCACACCAGTGCGGTGACTGACAGCCACACATTCACCTCAAAACATTAGATTCATCCGTTGGAGCCATGCAAAGATGATAATTTCGCAAATAACTGCAATTGTAGGTTTTCAAACAGAGATGGCAACAAAATAATTAAAATAAAAATGATGCAATCCATAAAAAAGTAACTATAATCTGATTATTAACATTTTAGAATGAAATATAATTACAAGTACTAAATTTATGGAATCTGATTACGTAACCAGATTACTTGTAATCAGTTACTACCCAGCACTGAAAATACAGAATATTCAGTGTAAAATACAGGTCCTGAAGAAAACCAGTTAAGAACCACAGACCTATGTTTTTGTTTATGTGTCAGTGCACGTGTGTTTTGATGTTGTGTGTTGTTGTCATGTACACATTTAAGACTAAGATAACCAAAGTGCCTGTGAGAGTGCTGGTACTGGATGTCCCGATTAGTGATGCTTATTCCTTGGAGTCTGTGTCCAAGCATGGCTTTTGTAAGTGATTGTGATCATCTCAATGCATTTGCTTTGTTTTTTCAACCACAAATGTACATTCAGATGACCTGTGTTTCTGTAGCGTTAGAGATCGGGCCGCAGCCGCATGGTGTCGTCAGAGCAGATATCTATATTATTATGAAAGAGGCCGTTGACTTGACAATAGACTGGATCCACAAATTCAACTCAGGTACTGTAAGACCTAAACAATTGGGGTTTATATTTGTCTGTTGTAAGTGTGATTTATTTCAAACTATGTTGTTTTCAGGAACAGTGTTTGAAGGTGGGGATGTGGAAACCTTTAAGTTTATCAAAAGTGTTGATTATCCAAGAGATCCAGAGACTCGGACTCTCACTGCTGCCATTCATCCTCAGCTGCAGGTGCCAATCGTTCTGCTATTTATTGTATATCCGCACAGAATCAGCATGAACATGTCTAGATCATAAGAAAATTGTTTATTTTAGGACAAATATTATTTTCTTTCTCCATTTTCTATTACAGTAATGATGAAAAAATCTAATTATAGTTATTGAAGTCTTTGAAAAAAGATCAATTATTATTATGGTAAACAGTGCTGGATAGTAACTGATTGCATGTAATCTGGATTATGCAATCAAATTCCAAAAGTGTAGTATTTGTAATTGGATTATATTACATTTTAAAATGCTCATAATTACATTACAGTTACTTTATGGATTGCAGGTCCCCCTAAGATAATTTAATAACACATTCACATGTTCTCTGATGTGAGTTAATGGTCATATTGACCTGAAGGTGAACAAAATATGTCAAATTTGGGTGTTCGAGCGTTTTATGCTTTTATTTTAAAACAATTTATTGTTTAGATTTTTATGATGTAATTAATTAATTATTAGCTCTTCATCAACTAATAAACCCCCTGCAGTTCTTTAATTTACCACAGTTTGGGAAACACTACAGTAATGTAATGTTTAATGCATTTTATGATGTTGACAACAACTTTTTTTTTATCTTATTTTATTTATTTATATTTTTAACAATAATCCCATTTAAAGTTAGGTCAAAAGTAATCTAAAAGTAGTCAGAATACATTACCTGAAACGAGTCATCTAGATTACATTACTCACTCTTCATCATGTAATCTATAATCAATTTGTAAATAATCTACCCAGCACTGACAGTGATTAATTCATCATGGTAGTATTTGTTGTACTGCCTTTATGTTGATTTAAATAAAAAAAAGTTTAGCTTTTTTTAATGGGAGTTATACAAGATAAGATGTCTACATGCAAACATGCTTTGTATATCACGAAATTCAATCTTAATCAGCCTAAAAAATGCTAAATATAATTTCATTTTTCTTGATTTTGATTATAATGTGACCTAGACATATTTCTGTGAAATATACCCAAAGTCTAAATAGTTTTTTATCTTTTTTGTTTTCTAGGACAAAGACTTCTGTCTTCTCAAGCGGGGAGACCCTTTATTTTTGTCATTTTCTGGAGAAACTGTGAACTACAAGGAAGAAGAGACACTTCATCCTTTCTTTATCAATGAGGCTGCTTACTATGAAAAGGGAATCGCTTTTCACTTGGGAAAAAAGATGATGCTGACGATTCCAACGGTGCAAGTGCAGAAAGACTGAAGGATGAGAGAGGAAAAGATATTAAACTCGGCACAATTGCCACCATCAATCAGTTGATTTCACAAGAATGTCACTGAAATGATTTTGACAATCACTTGTAACTCAGGTATACGCTATGTACTTATTTTTAGCTACATGACAATGAATGGCTCATTTATCTGCTGCTAAAACACGAGCAACAGCATTTTGGATGAAAAGAGATTGTGACCAGCAAAATTTACAGGAACGTGTACAAAACTGTATAAAAAAGGCAAAACCGTCTGAAGTATTAACATCATGATGATGTCACAGTGGAGTGTGAGGTATCCTCTTGACTGTATTGCTCACATGCTGTTGCTCTTGACTGATTGTTTGGAGAAAATTGAGCCTTTCTACAAAACAAATTACACTCACTTGAAAAAAATGTGATCTCCAATATTACAACACGCAGAATAAACCACATGGCACAATGAAATCAAGTAAAGCTGTATGTGCAGTGTGATTTTTACCACTGGTACGATTTTTGCACGATATGATGGCAGTGAAATCTTCAACTGACTGCAAGTCATCTCCAGATTTTTAGTCAAAGTGTGCATGATATACGTGACGAATGACAGCAGTAACTGGATGTTTCAAGTCACTCGTCCACATCATTTGACATACAAAATAAAATTGTGCCCTTGCACTAATTTCACCAATGTTTAGAGTGGCTTTATATGCACTAATTTAGTTGTCATAACATCACATTATGCAATCCTAAACTGCTGAGAAAATCTGCAAAGCATATCGAAAACAACATGGTAAAAATCGCATAACGTGCACCAGCTAAATGTTTTAAATGAAGTATAAATAAGAATATAAACCACAGCTGAGATGGTTTTAAATTACTACTTGAACCATCACAAAACATTATAACTGGATTCTAATCAAGTCACTAAACAAATGTGAAGTATACAATGAAATACATTCTCAAAGAGAAACTAAATGGTAAACAACAGAGTATAACCAATGCAAAGCACTAGAAACAATAATAAATATGCAAACCAAATGTTCAGGAAAACACAAAAGGCTCAAGTGGTTAATGCTTAAGACGGACACAAACATTCAGTCTTTCAGGCCAAGGCAAAACCCTATTGCATCTTGGGATTGCAAAGCGCTAAAATGCAATCGCTTCAAGATGTCACTGAGTAGCTACAACACAGGCTGAATAAAAGACACAGAGGTGTTATTTAAAACACACTGAGGAGATGAAACTAAACCTAACACATCAAAATAAGTTTAGTCTAACACAGGTAAACAAAAGGCGAAGCCCTGAATAACTACTGTTTAGTGTTTATAGATGCTTTTCTGTGGGTGAGAAGTTTAGTTTCTCATCTTCAACAGCACAGATGCTAATAGAGTGGTTAAAAAGGCAGTTATATAGTAGGAAGATCCTTCAAGAAATGAATATATTCACAGGACAGTGCTACAGGTGGACGGCGTTAGTTAACCCACTAACTTTGAGCGGTATGTTCTAACTGTTTCCTTCATAACTTTAGCTTGGTTAGTGGTAAAAGCAGCCGCTGAACGAACATGGATGGGTGCTTTCTGTGAGAGCAGACAATCGCTTCGGCGACTCTATAGTCAGTCCTCTATTGCCTAAGCAACCCTGTAGGCTGTCATTCGAGTGTAGTGTTGGCGGTGGCTCCTCGTGGCCCATATGAAGAGCGCGGCAGCCATGATCTGCAGCGGAGACGAGACCAGAGCCAAAAACAAGGACCAGCCCGGTGAATAGTCCATCCCCTCGGGGAGCTCGGATATTTCGTGAAACAAATGCACGCCCGCGAGGAAACAGCATACGGTGGCCATGGAACACAGGCCTGAGAAAACAATATACGTCAAATTAAAATGATCTCTGGAAGCTGTGGAAATATAGCCATTAACTGTTATTAATGTCTTACCGGCCAGCAGATGCAGCAGCCCTACGAATAGTGTAGGAGTGATACTGCGGCAAAGGCAGGCGCACACTCCGATCAACGCCGCGAGAAACACCAGCCCCACAGAGACCAGCGGGAACAGGAACTGACACTTCCACAGGTCTGTGGACACAAACATTCAAAACATAATGACAAAACATCCTGTTGCTCACTGCGGCTGGTTAAAATACCATATATAAATGAATCTTACTTAAAGGGGTCCTATTATGCTTTTTCACATTATCAACTTTAGTTAGTCTGTAATGTTGCTGTTTGAGCATAAAAAAGATCTGCAAAGTACAACCTAGTATGAGAGCCTGTTCTAGTACACCCCCAAAACAAAATCAAGACTTTGTAAAAAAGCATAATAGGACCCCTTTAAAAAAAAAAAAAAGGAAACATCTTGTTAGGACTGTGTCTAGACAATAAACAATTATAAGTGAATGGAATGAGCATTAAAAATGATGTTGAGAACTCTTTTCATCGTTTCATTGTCACAGCATGTTTTTATTATGAGTGCTAGTCAAAGAGCTGGGCAATATATATTTAATGTTTTCAATGTCTTCCAAGATGATTTTAATGGCAATATAGTTTTGACATGTTTGTATTTGGTCATTAAGTTTACAATGAAATGTTTCATATAAATGAAAAGAAATACAAATCTTCCCAATATATACACTACCAAGTTTGCAGACTGTAAGATTTTTTTTTAATGTTTCTGAAAGAAGACTCACCAAGATTGCATTTATTTGATCAAAAATACAGTAACAACAGTAATATTGTGAAATAATATTACAATTTAAAATAACTTTTCAATTTTAATATATATTAAAATGTAATTTATTCCTGTGATCAAAGCTGAATTTTCAGCATCATTACTCCAGTCTTCAGTGTCACATGATTCTTCAGAAATCATTCTAATATGCTGATTTGCTGCTCAAGAAACATGTATTATTATTATCAATGTTGAAAACAGTTGTACTGCTTCATATTTTTGAGAAAACTGATGTATTCCTTTTTTCAGGATTCTTTGATTAATAGAGAGTTCAAAAGAGCAGCATTTATTTGAAACAGAAATCTTTTGTATCATTATAAATGTCTTTACTGACACTTTTGATTAGTTCAATGCATCTTTACTGAATAAATGTGATTTAGAAAGACCCCAGCCTTTTAAATGGTAGTGGAATATCATCTAAAGAATTCCCTAGAAAGTATAGGTGTGAGTAAATGATTGATTGAGAGTCAGGACGTACATGTACGCAGCAGATCTTCTCCACTGTCAATATTCCCAGGAGATTTGTACTTGGATTCCCACTGCTGTGGCAAAGTAAAGGCCTGACATTTAGTCACCATTATCGGATCTGGAAAGGAGTAAGCGGAGAGCGAGAAGAGAGACAAAGCAAAATGTAGTAAGCATCAATTTTTAACCGACTGCACAACTAATAATAATAATAATAATACATAACCATAAGTTACTCTCCTTACCAGGCTCTTTAAACCAGTAGGAGTGTTTAGGCACCAGAATGCAGCGCCACCAGAGACCCAGCGTGCCGTTCAGCCGGAACATAGCAACGCTGTAGATCCTCTCATCCACATCCTCTGCCTCAAAGTCCTGCTGCAGCGTCTGCAGGTCCGAGCCGTTGTTGGCGTCGTTGCTGGCCGGCTGGCTGTGGTACTGGTACCAGTGCTGCGTTCCCATGGCAACAGAGAGATAGACGGTGGCAAGCAGGCTCAGCACGGAGCCGATGACCAGCGCAGTGGCGTATCGGTTGTCCACCATGGTTTGGATGAAGTAATGCAAAAAGACTTTCTGTAGATGGCCAACAATTAACTCTTTAGCTGATGAGTGTGGTGACTGATGCGAGGAGAACGGTCATATCATTTGTACGGTTTTTGGTGACAGAGATTGCTTTTCATCCTCTTACAATATCCAGTGCAGAACGTCAGATCTCATCCTCGTGGAGGTGATCCTTCTTGAGATCCAAAGAAGTGTGTCATCTGAAACAGAGGAGTGATTAAATCTCAAAGTAGCCAAACAAAGTCATGTTTACATAAGTAACAAGTTAATACACTTTAAGGAGGAATAAGTCACTGGATTTGCGAAAGACACTCCCAGTTTCGAGGCATTTAGCCAGGTAGCTAGACATTCGTGAGTAAACCTGTGTATTGTATGACTGTGAAATGATTTGTACTTATTTATTTCACATAAAAGCCACTAAACCGCACACAACAACAAAACAAACGATGACTAGTCTCTTCTCATATCAAATGGTATACAGTCATTCTTGAGAAGTGGGACAAAACAGGGTGCAAAATTGAAAAAATAAAACCTTGTACTCAGACAAATGCAACTATATTTATGTATCTTATATGTACTAAGCTACTGAGCTATGCTTTGATACAACCTCCCAACTTTTCTCTTTTTTAACAAAATGTGCTTTTTTACCTTGGACTGTGTAATATAATTTCAGCTTTATCTTTAACAGCATTCAAGATGTTTTTAACATTTCAAAACACATTCTCGTGTTAGCAGACAGATTACACTTTCACATGTGACCAACAATTCCACAACAAATATAAAATATCATAATGAAATATTATCAAAATATTCAACTGACGGAGCTGACAGAACTGACGGAGTTGACACATCTGACGGAGGTGACGAAAACCTGAATTTGTAGTCATTTTAACTATCAAATACATCGAATCAGTCAATTACTGTATTAAAACAAACACATCAAACAGTGAGTATGTTATTGTTTATAAAGCTTTTATTCAAGAAACAACCTTGCTTTGATAGGAGATATTAATAAGTGTTGCTTTTGATAAAACAAGCTCTTTTTCATCATAAAAAAAACATTTTTATCAGTTTTATTGCATATGAATGATTGAACCCTTCTCTGTGGACACACTGTTTTAGATGTAGTGAGAGGACATTAAGAAACATAGATTTGGTATAATAATGAGAAAATTAAATTGAAGGTGATAATTGTGTTAAATACATTCTATTATTAATCCCTCATGACATTTAAAATTGAAAATATTTTTCTTTTTAAAGCTAATAGCAGTTACCCTTGCTGGACCTGTTTTGTCCCATGTCTCAAGAATGACTGTATAGCAACAAAACTTTATTAAAAAAAAAAGTAATAAAGAAAAAGTAAGGATTTTACATAATCAAAAGTCCGATAAACAAGAAAACAACAGTTAAACTCTTCCTGTAAGTGGTCTTTACCACATTATTATTGAGTTAACTACATAATATCATTTTCGCAGGATTTAAGTGCACAAAGGAGCACTTCTTTCCAAATATAATTTAGAAATATTTAACTGACACAAGAGCCTAACGTTCAATATTGCGTACATCAAAGTTGTTTGATGATCGCTAGCATGAGAGCTAACAGGCTAGGGTGTTTTAGCAACGTGAGACTGGAGACTTTCGCGAATGAAAAACATTTAAGTATTTAAACTTTATGTTTTCTGAACTTCATATAGCAATGAAACATCCTATATAGGTTTTTGTTTAAAGCAA